TAAAGAACCCGAATTTTCTTCAATTTTCTCCTCCAGGGGCTTAAGAGAAAAGCTTGTCCTTTGTCTTGTGTGTGTGATTCCACAAGGCTGAGTTCGTGTACTGTATCAGAGACCAATCACATCTCTGTGGTGTACTTCAATCCGCCAGCACTTCCCCTTCATTCGATCCCACACGAGAGAAGCGACCGCCATCGTGTCAGATCTACATCAACGACCATCTTTCCTTCACAATAGAGAAGCGACCGCCATCTTGTGAAGCCATCATATCTATCCTAATACAAGCTCACCACCGAGTCTTGTATCATCCTCCCACACATTATCTCCATCTCTAATCAAAATGGCATGACACCATTCTCGTTTCTTCACAGATCCAGTACTCCGTGTAGCAAGAGTTTCTAACTTATTGGTATAAGTGCTCAGGGCTTCGATTTTGCCATTCAAGTCAGTGTACATGGCATCCATCTTCCCGTTGAAATCCACTGTCATGTTCTGCTGACCCGCTAGAATCTGTTCTATCATTGACTTCATCTAGGTATCTGCAGATGGAGAGGGAGGTGACTGGTAAGAAGAATTTCCATAGGTTCTGACGAAACTGCTGGTGCCTTTCTGACCATACCCATTGTTGTACCGGTTACCCTGTGTGTTGTCAAACTTCTGACCTTGATACCTATCACCATTGACGTAGTTCACATCTTTTTTTTCATCCTCATATGATTCAAAAGCCTCAACCTCAGCAGCAAACTTAACACTCTTCTTAGTAACACGAAGGTTATGCACTGAATCGAGCTTTACCTTAACGTCAGCGAGTTGAACACCATCCATGTTTTGAGCTAGCTTCTTCCTCTCAAAATCAACGACTTTAGTACTGTTGCTGGAAGCTAAGTTCTCAATCAGTTTGGTGGCTTGAGCTGGAGACCTTGTGTTGTAGTTACCGTTGCTATCAGCATCCAAAGCCATCTGGTACCTCCAATCCAATCCTCTGTAGAAAATGCCCAAAATCTGAAATTTGTCATACCCGTGGTGTGGACAATCTCTCTGATAACCCTTAAAACGCACTCAAGCAGCCTTGAAAGCCTCTGAGATCCCTTGAGGAAAGGTAGAAATCTTTTTCCGCAACTCCTCTGACCTCGCATCATCATAAAAATTGTTTAAGAACTCAACTTTTATATCCTTCCAGCACGTAAGATATCCAGGCTTCAACTCTTTCAGCCAAGATAATGCTTCTCCAACTAAAGAGTGCTGGAAAAGCTTGTAGTGCAGAAAATCCGAAGATACACCATCAGCCTTGATGCTAGATACCAGATCCTCAAACTTCTCAATATGGTCCATTGGATGCTCATAAGTATGGCCATGGAATGGGTGTTGTTCCTCTGAAATGTAGGAGGATGTATAGCAGAGCGGTTAGAATAAAACAGTGCAGGCATGTTGTATTCTCCAAGTGTACGGTTTTCATCCTTCTACTTCAGCATGCAACGCTAACTGATTGTTGTCTGCTGCGGCTTCGTGTCGATCGACACCAACGACGACTGGCTCAGGAATCACAGTCCCGTCAGCATTCAGCTTCTGCCCTTGTGCATTCCTCAGATGCCCATCTCCATCTCTAAGAGTACCCTCAACATCTTGAATCAAAATCACTAGCGCAACCATTGCTGCCTGTTTCTGAGCTTTTCGATTCTCTCTTTCTAAACCCGCTAGGTCTTGATCGTTGAGATCAACTAGCTCTGTGTTCTTGCTTCAGGTATTAGGCATGAAACTGAAACACCAAAACAAAAAGAGAAAAGAAAAGAGTAAGTAACAAAATAAAATAAAAACTTAGACTAAACTTTTATCCTTAATCTAATTGTAATCAAAATTGAGTCCCCGGCAGCGGCGCCAAAATTTGATCGGCTCAAATTTGCCCTGAGCTACTCACTCAATTAAGAGATCA